AGGGCGCAGTGCGGTACCAGCAGGGCGCAGCCCGGCGGGTCAAGGGTCGGGCGCGGGGTCCGCGGCCATCCTCGCTTCATAGCTGCCGGGGGCCTGGATGTGACAGCGCCTTCAGTGGACACGGGTTGGGGGACTTGGTACTCGGGAGCCCCGCTTCCCTGGTGGTGTAAGTACGCAGGAGGGGCCGGCCCTGTGGAAGCTTGTGGCAGGTGTAGCATTCTCTGAAGTCCCCATTTTAACTCTGTACTCAGCACCTGCCAGCCTTCAGACGTCCGTCTGTAGTTGCGTCCTTCGGTCCCTGCCACCGTGGCCCAGGTGTGACCAGACCGGGGTTCGGCTGTGGGGCCGGTGTGCCCCTGACACCCTCCCTCCCGCCCGAACGCCCACCGCCCCAACCAGTGGGGCTGCTTTCGGCTTTGACTCTCCGCAAGAAATTTTCTCGTTTTGCAACTCCACTTTGTTTCAGATAAAAACTTAATCATTCTTCCTAGCTCTTGAGAGAGGGCTTTTCAAAACTTACTTATTTGTTCTACCAGTCGCTGCTGGCTTGGGGCTAACATGTTTACCTTAATAAGTAAATTATTTTAAACTGCTGGGTGACATAGTTCCCTGAGCGTTTGCCTTCCCAAGCTTCCGGGTCTTCCGCAGCCATTTCTTCACCATGGCTCTTGAGCCATTGTGGACACCAGACACAACGCTGACTCGTGCACCAGAGAAGGGGAGGCTTTTTGGCTTGAGGGCTCAGTCCCTGCTGACTTGGAGGCGGAAGGGTGTGGTGAAGGACAGCTGCTTAGTTCATGGCCTGAGGGAAGCAGAGCAGGGGTTAGAGCTCAAGGACAGGCCCCCAACACTGTGTCACCACAGCCACCCAGACACTGGGACTGAGCGCACCGCCCTCCGGAAGTTCCCCAGCCCCACATCCCACCCTTATTCCGGCTGTGGGGCATTGACAGCTGCAGCTCTTGCCTTAACGCAGTAGTTTATTTAAGGTGGCCATCAGAATGGTTCTATTTTTCTTCAACTCTTCTGTGAGTTTCTGTTGCAGAAAAACAATCAGCAGTGCTGTTAGTTGTGCTTGGGTCTGTTTGTTTTCTTAATGCCTTTCCCTTTTATATTC